GTCTGCCTATGTCCTTAGACCAACATGACTACAACTTATACCCTAAAAGAGCAGAAAGAGCACTTTTGCCAGTATAGTACATCCCAGTTTTCCTACACTGATAAACTGAGCTTATTGTAAACATAGCCTTAGTCAAAATAGCCATTAAAGGTAAATCTACATGGGAAAATGCAGTTTCTTACTGACATACCCTAAGTTGCTATAACTGTCCCTAAGAGTGGGCAGAAAAGATGGCTTTAATTACCCCATGTTAGACAGTATGAAGTCAGCTCTGCTGAGAATTGAGCCAATATTTTACAACAGTCATGTTATTTTCCTGTCTGTCATTTTTGCCTGTAATAATCTCTGCCATATACAATATAGAGTTCAGCTCAAGATATTTTCACCATGTTTGTGTAGCCTTGGTGATATAAACAAGTGACTCTCCCTCCCCTGTAATTTTCTTTTCATATCCCAATCGCCAGTACTGTATTGCTTAATCAAATACCATAAGACCCACAATTAAGCTTCTAATAACTGTACAACAATTAGGAAAAACAGATGGGAAAGTAATTTAGTTCTCCAATGTTTTTCTCAGGTATTTTAAAATATAAGCATCTAAGGAGAAAGAATAAATTTTAGTTTTAACATTGATGCCAAAAACATTAACATTCCATCACAAGAATCAATGATTGGAAATTCTAACAAGTCAAAAATGCAAATATTATGTTGTTCTTATTCCCCATAACCTCTATTTTATAGTGTAAAGTAGGTCAATCTTTTTTAAGGGTGCCATATAAATATTTGTTAAACTTTTATTTTCAATTAAATAATTTTCTATTCTAATTTATTAGCTGACTCATCTGTAGACCCAATCTGTTGTCAGGTTAATTTGAATTGTGGCTGTTGTAAGACTGGGACAGTAATAAAGCCATTTTCAAGAGTAAGTTAAAAAGTTTATGATCTCCACTAGCTGGAAATGGAAGCAAGATAAATGCGGACTAGAAATAAAGTATTTTTTTTCACCAATAGCAGTAATTAACCAACCTACCAAACTCACCCTTTTGACTTTGATGACTTACCCACTGGAAAGGTAGAATCAATATGATGTAGGGTTGGGAAAGTTGTAGGACCTGCCAGAAATAAGATTGAATAATTGCCTGACCGCCTTAGGGGTTACACTCCAGGTTTTCTTTCAGGATTTACTACCTTAGCCTTCACCTCTCTGGAGACAATCCACAAAGCTGTGGTTGTGGTTACTGTCATCTTCAGCTGTGCTGTTGGAAAATATCCTCTTCCACCACAGCTGCCATTGTGATGACCAGAGGATGACTCTTAATGATGAAAACTGCTCCCCCCCTACCAAGTTCAACCTGCTGGCAAATGAGGTTGCCCAAGGTGCAGCATGTGGAGCCATTAGTAAGAGATGGATGCAAGTGAGGACAAGTAATCCCAAACCACCTTAACAAGGTGCTGCTGTTTGAGAAACAAAGGTTCTACCCCCTCCTCAAACACCCCATGGACAACTCTTGATCACTTAGCAAATGCCCAGGCTTTTCCACCCTGGAAAGATTACTCCAGCTTCACCAATGTGTTGAAACAAACAGGAATCAATAGTTACCAGTTATAAGCCAGGGATCACTTGGCATAGATTCAGGTGTCAGGAATTGTCTCTGATGGTAGGAGAGGTCATCACATCTCATTAGGAAACTTCTGCCCACCTCAAGCTGGGAAGTCTGCAGTCAACAAGGTGTTTTCCTGCCACAGTCTACTGATACACTGGTGTTTGGAACTTAGAGATTCAACTAGATGGCAGACTGCTATCACATACCACCAGGTACTACAAAAAATGCAAGGAAAAAACTTTCAGTCCTAAAGGTTTCTTCAGTCAGTAATTAGTTGAAATGTGTGTACAATGACCCCAGATATATACAATAACCTCCAAAACATTGACAATGCATGCAAAACTACAGTCACTGATGCAGAATTGCTGAACATCAATACTGTCACTCTACAGCAGACCAGACTACCAGGTATTGGCTGCCTGAAAGAAAGGAACTGCACCTTTTTATGGTGTGGTAAACACACAGAAGAAAATCAGAGAGCATGGTGTTGGCTTTGCAGTAAAAAATAAACTGCTGTTCACAATGGAACCCCCAAACAAAGGCTCTGAAAGGTTAATGGTGGTTTGACTCACTACTGCCACAGATTCTGTCACTCTTATGTGCATACGCTCCAACTCCCACCATTCATCTGAATCAAAGGACCACTTCTACAATGAGGTTAGGGCCTTAATCAGTAATAGTTCACTGTTGGAGGGTACTAAAATATGCTTGCTCCTTTAAGGACCTTAAAGGAGCAACCTAGCCATCAGGAAACACAGTCGGTAGTCATATGCGGAGTCTCTGGTTTCCTCAAAATCATGGCATTCGGTGGTAGAAACACCTAGTAGAGTCAGGAACGTGTTCTGTTGAATTGCACCCGAAGTGAGGTATACGACACAGTACAGAGTAGTGATTATAAAGGATCTCATGGTGGTTACCTGTAAGATAAAGGAACAACCAGCAGTATCAAAAGGTATTATGCACTTTATATAACTTTTTGTTCAGCGTGCCTAGACAACCAATTATGGTGAGCGAGTACATGCAGGACGTTCGGGTTGTTGAGGTTCTGGATAACCCAGTAGGTATTTGGATATTGTCCCGGAGTTATAATTTTCCCTTTGGTTGGCGTCAGGTGTTTGTTGTTCAGGTCTGGAGTGGTGACCCAAATGAGTTCATCTGGCAGGAATTTTGGTGTCCAGGGTTTGGGCAAAGTTACTGAGCGGTGTTCCCATAGGGGTTTATTGGCATTTAGGCTAATGAGGACACTGGGGAGGACTGTGTCCCATCCGATGTAGGAGCCTTTGTTTAAAAGTCGGATTTTTTCTTTGATAAGGCCAATAGTGTGCTCAACTACACTGTTAGATTCTGGGTGGTACGGGATATGGTGATGCCACTGAATGTTATAGGCTATTGCAAAATCGCCAATGAGTTTGGATGTGAAGGGCGGTCCTCCATCTGAGTGAATGATCTCTGGGGCTTGCCAATGGGTGATGAGTAGCTTTAACGCAGTGACAACTAATGGGCCGGTACTTTTTTGTAGGGGAATAACTTGCACTTGTCGTGTACCCAGACTGACAACAACAAGTCCTTTTGGATTTCACTTTGTCCCGGGTAAGGGACCTAGTAAGTCGACTTGCCATACCTTACCAGGTTTAAAGTATTCTTTGGCAAAGGTTTCTCGCTCCATGGCAGTCAGGTGTTTCTTTTCTTTGGCACACTGTTCACAAGCTTGGACTATGCGAGTCCAATCTTTGCGAGTTCCTTTAAATCGAGATTGGGCCGTGGCTTTGCACCAGCGGTTGTGGGAAGCACTTACCCCGGGATGCCCCCAGTGTTCATGTAGCCAATGAAGGAAAGGGTCAAGGTTTTTTTCTTCTGGAATCGTATGGGCTCGATTGATACAGGCTTTCATGTGTTCCCCATCTTGGAGTAACCGGTCAACTTCTGCATGTACTGGATCTATATTGGGGCGATGTGAACAAGTATGCTTGATGAGTGGGGGTGGGTCAAGAGTCTCAATCATAGCAAATATTTCTTCCCAGGTGTCGTCGTAGTCGTCTGGATCTGCATCACCAGTAACGATTTTATATATGAACTGGGAGTCAATGGCGATTACTGGGACCAGTTGGGAGCTGTTATGAAACTTGTGGCAATGTCTAATAACTTTACAAAATGCAATTAATTCATTTAATTGGGCTGATTTGGAGGCTGAGCTGACTCCTTTTTCCTGACAAGCTTGACAATACCATCCACTTAGTCCTCCATGGCGGGTAGTTCCATCGGAGGCCATCCAGGCGGATGCCGTGGTTCCGTACAAAATCGGGCGGTTCCTAACTTCACTCGGTGTTGGTGTATCACGATGTACCCATGAAGCGGACCAGTGATACCAGTAATCGAATGTGAGATCAGTCCAAGTTTTGGGCTCTCCATTGAATGCCGGATTTACTTGATCACTGTTGACTTGGGTTAACAGTGTCATTCCTGGGCCTAGGATGCTTCCGTGACCTTTTGAGACTGGTTTCGCCAGCCGCAGTGCAAGTAGGACTTTTCTGACAGTTCCATATCGATGCTGGGCATCTTGTAAAGTACAATGGGCAGCTAGTACAAGGTGGTTCTGGTCATGCACTGTTGCCCATACGTGTGTGTCCGTATAACCGACGGCGACAGTTAAATCATTAGCTAAGTTGATTGCGTGGAGTTTAGTACCTTTGCACTAGGTAATTAGATGTTGGATGGCTTGGTCTTCTTTTGAGGTCCAAGGGGTGAGAGGTCGGACATGGCGGAGACGTTTCTGAATTTGGGCGAGTACTGGGAGGCTCTGGGGTTGGACATAGTGTCGGAGCCAATTGTTTCATCCCATCATTCATTGAAGATCTTTTCGTGATGGAGGGTTATGATTAGAGCAATTAATTAGTGGCGAGATTAGGTTGTTTGGTGGTTTGTGGCTCCGTCTCCATGGTCCTGTAAACCTGGTTCCAAGGAAGGTGATGTCGTCTGAGGGATTAAGGCATGACTTTTGTTGGTTTAT